CCAATTTTAGGCGGGACAGTTAATGGGTGGTTACCCCAGGTTGTCCCCTTGGTTTGCAGTACACAGTCTCGCAAGTAAAAATAAAAAGCAGGATGCTGACTATGTACACAACATTCCAGTTAAGTAGATTTCCTCCTTCTCCAATGAATACATAAATTGTTGCTTCCCTGGTGACTGTACAGAGCATGAGTGACTTGCTCAGCATCAACCAGAGGAACCAAACACACAAGATCTCAGTTTACTTTCCTGGGCTCAGACAAGACCTCCTTCTCAGTATTAAACAATCACTAAGCAACCAAAAACTCTCAAATTGGCAGTGAAAACTTGAGCAAGAGCACCCAGGAAATAATTTTCAAGACTACTGCACTGAACCCTCCCAAGGACTCCTGTCCATGTGTGAATGAGCACTTGTCATTTCAGGCACAAGGGGTGAAGCCTTGTGACAACAGACAAAGAACTGAATAATCCAGTGGTGCTACTGAGACACAGATCTAATCCCACAATGAGGAGATGACTCCTTCAAGCAGGCCTGTTATAAAATTATCAAGTGGCACAGGGGGTGGAAGGAATCAAGTTCTGATTGAACTGACTTGAAATAATAAATGCACACACTTTGTTTAAACACAGCTTGCCACATCCTGAGAATCTGGAATCAATTCCTTCCCTTTCAAGAAGCTTAAAAGTGGTGGGACTTTGATATGGCATGAGCATGTTTGCTTCTGGGCTTACAGCCCTCGCCAGCCCTTTCCAAAACTTTCAACGTTTTTATATTATAAGAGAGAAAAGTTAGGAAAACAAAGATGGAAAAAAAAGAATTAGAAATTCAGGGAACTATTAAATCAGGGCAGCCTCGCTGCCAAATACCTTTGGTAAGTAAATGAATCATGATCAATAACATATTGCCATTCAGACTTACAGGAGAAGGTTATCACCTACTTCTGTGCCAGGCATAAAACAAAACGGTGTGTGGCTAATGAAGTACTGCACGAATTCAGGAAAAAAAAATCACTATTTTTCTCTGTAATGTTACAGCATTTTTACTTCAAAGTAAATTTAGCTCATCCAGAAAAAACATAATTTTTCCATGAAAACTTTGTCAAAATTGATAGGTTACTATGGAACATTTCTCTTTTGACAACGTTACATTTGTAAGAGGAAACTGTCTTGACAGAAAGAACCCTGTTTTGTTAAGGGGATGTTTCCACCCTGATAATAAAGCTGCTTGTGCAAAGCTCCTTTATACATTCATGTATTTGCCAGCAGAGGGTGTCACAATCTTAGAAACAAACCTACAAGTGTATCCTTGAGTCTTCACTCACACAGGAGGGCTCAGACACACACTAAAACAAGGATTTACCAATCCCTTATTGTCCTCACTGACTTTTCCACTCCCAGGGAAAAAAACCCAAACATTTAGCTACGTAAAGGATGTAGTAGCAGTGCCATGCTGCCAGTGCTCTCAGGACAGAAATACCGCAGGGACACAGCCAGCAGTGCCATCATCTGAAGTGTGACATTCCTCCGTGCGCCTGCCTGCAAACTCCACTCAGAGGGACAGCAGCTTGGACCTTGCTTTGGTGTGCGTTAGACTCTCCTCAGTTCTCACATCCAGGACCCTCATGCTGCATAAATATCATTAATTATCCCAACCACTTTGTGCCACTTTTCTGCAGAGCTCTAAGAGCCCCAGGCTGAGGTGAGAGCTCACACTGCACACACCATGAGACCCGTCCTAAACCAGCACCCTACAAGGAATGGTCACACATAATTACACCTAACCCACACTTCTCACAGCCACACACAGGCTGATGCTACAAATTCCCAGCCTGATATCCCACATGTTACTGAATTCATTTCCCTCAGTCCTGAGTTAAGAGAACATAATTTAAACAACTTGATGTTTGGTGTTTTAGCCACCTTGCTATCCTCTATCCTCTACACCCCCCACCTCTACTGCCAATTAAAAGAAATTAAAATTATTTTTTATATAATGATCTGAGTTCTATAATCTACTTTTAATTTACTAACAACTCTTCTTCTATTTGTGTTTTGATCACGTGCAACTGATGTTCCAGTCCCTGGAGCAGCTTTCAGATTAACTAGAGCACTGGAATCAGCTGGAGCTAGGAACAGATACAGAGGATGACTATGAGACACATATTACCATTATCTCAGAGCTGGGAGCTACAGAAACCATTTATGATAACCACAAGCAGAAATCTCTGTTCCTTTTGGATCTCACCTGCTCGCGTGGAGACACAGAAAGGGACTTCACCTAGGTAATTACATTTTATGTTTATAAAATGCTTTTTTTTTGTCACAGAACTATATACAAGTACGTCTGCTGTTACACAGGAAAAATAAAAATATAATAATATAATATAAATATACAATACAAATATAATATTGCAATATATAAAAATAAATGTATAAAATTTATTTAACATATAAATACAATAGACTATAATATTAATACAATATAAAAAATATTTACTTCAATAGACAGCCTCAAGCTGTACTAGGGGAAAGCCAGGCTGGACATCATGAAGAATTTAGTCACTGAATGGGTTGTTAAGCACTGGAATGGTCTTTCCAGAGAGATGGTGGAGTCACCATCCCTGGAACTATTCAAGAAGTGACTGGACGTGGCACCCAGCTCTATGGTTTAATTGACAGGCCTGTGATCAAAGGTTGGACTTGATGATTTCAAGGTCTTTTCCAGCTTTTGGGATTCTGTTATTCTATTCTATTATTTTGAATAATGCAGCAGGACCTATTGTAAAACGATATGCACCAGATCAGGGCTAGAGCCCCAGATCCCTTTTGAATCAGTGTTGCAATTTTACAAAAAATTATTAAATACCAATCAAAAATAAATAGATTCATTAGGAATATGTACATAGTGTTGCTGTCCTTTCCTCTTTGCACACAGTCTTTCACTGCTCAAGAAATTTAACACAACTACTTTTTGACTAACTTATTCTCCTCCATCCAAATCAGCCTTCAGAAAAACTGCTGGTGTTCAGATCAACTGGACAGAAGGTGAGTAAAACAGCCCTGGGACTGGGGAGAAACTATTCTTCCTTAGCCCTTGAAAACTGACAATTACTCTGCTGAAGTTGAGGTCTGCACTGAGAGTCCCAGGGACCTTATTCATTGATAGAAAGAACATAGTTATAGACAGAAAGATCCAGATCTACTCTGCCTATCTTTTCTTTATTCTCCCTGCAGTGCAGCACTCTAGCTGTAATAAAATTAAGCTAAAAGCTTTTCTTTACTTTGAAGAGGAAAGTTGAGCATCAGTACATTCAGAGACTGCAGTGCCTGGTTAAGACAGGAGCAGGAACCAGCTAACAAAAATGGACTGAGGATGTTTGCAGGGTGCAAAGATTGTGTCTCTCCTGCAGCTTAACAGCTCTTGTCTCTGCAACTTTGGTGTGCTTAATTGTAATTTACAAGCCTACCTAAACCAAGAGTTTGTTATGCAAAACTAGGGAAAGCTCTCTCTGATCATATTGCAGCTGTGAAAATGTGGAGTGCTTTGCAGGTTTAGATTATTTATCTCACCATACTGGATGTCAGACCTTGAATTCCAGCTCTGCTTATGGCCAGATGCAGACACCTCTAGGACTAGCATTTATTCCTGGCTGCAGATGCCAGCCCTTGTGAGCCCATGGATTTGAATACTGCAGTCACTGAGAAGCAAGAGCTGGGACTGTGCGTGTGGGGGAGCACAGCTGAAGATTTACAGTTTCACAGCAGACCATAAAACTTCCTTGTAAATGGCCAAGATATTTTACTTCCATTGTTACATCTATTTAGTCTCTTAATTTATCTTCCTTTTACAACTTCCTGTAAAGGTTAGCTCAGCATCCCATTAGCATTAGACAAAAAAAACCCCAAGCTTTTAGCATCACTGAGAAGCGAAGCACTGTAATTATTTCCTTCTGTTAACAACAAAAAATATTATAGAGGAGATTGTTATCTGACATAAATCATCATTTACCCACTTTTATCTCATGGGTCAGCCCCGGGCAATGAAATATAATTGCATGGATGAAATGTGTGGCAGAGCTGGAACCTGCAAAATCCATAGTGTTTTCTGAATGATATAAGCTCATGGTATTCAACATGCCTTAGGTCTCTGTCTGTGAAAGCAGTAATATAAAGGAGGAGGTCCATCAGTGAATGACTGCAAATATTCTACTAGGTCATCTTAAGGGACAGGGATGTGTAAATCCCCAGCTTTATGGAGCAACAGGAGCTCAGACTCACTGAAGTCTTGCCTCTCTGAGGGGAAAGGAATGTGCAGAACAGCAATTTTATTAAGAAGACAGTGTGGGATGCATATAAATATGAATGGCATCTGGCTTCTGGGGGACTCTTTTCATAAACAAATGTGAAGGAAAATCTGGAGCTTACAGAGTGCAATTACATTTCTTAAATTCACTTTTTTCTTTTAATTACTTTTATATGGAATGTTTCGATATAACTCGGTTTATATGAGCAAATTAGCTATAGCAGCATAACATAATCAAAAGATAAGAGGGCCAAGAGCCTGATGGCAACATCTAACACAGCATGAGTTGCTCTCCCAGGTTTGGGTCCAGTCAACACAAACTCTTCTAAGCAGTGCTGGGGCAGAGGAGGAAGTAGCACAGGCCACCAGTCTCTTCCAGTAAGCAGACAAGGATCCTGTTCTGGTGAGGAAACTGGGCTGTGTGGACAGGAGTCATACCATGGCTGTTGGTAAAGAGGCTAACAAACACTCTGTGGCTCTTCTAATCACCACTACAGATGTAGTTAATTCAACTGTGGATATGTGAGTTGAGTCCACCTAACCAACCCCGTCAAGTTGTTGAGCAGCAGTTCCTGAACAAAGCAGTCATCTGAACAAAATTTATGATGATGAGAGATCATAAAATGATGAGAGAATGGCAGAATTCTTCCACTTCTAAGCGTACAAATTCCCTGGTACATTTGGCAATGGTCATACTCACCAGCATTATCCTGCTGCTTGGTGTTCTTGATGTATGCAGAAAATTTGGAAAAGATATCAATTCCAGCAGTGTTTGATTCTCGGTGCTTAGCAGCCAGCTTGGGGTACCTGAACAGGCAAAAGCAGGGAGGAGAGTAACATCGTGTTACCAGCATTGCAGTGATGGCTACAAACATAATTTACACAGAGAAAGAAAAACCTCCTGTGTGAAGAACTGTAATTAACACTCATTATCTCGGAACTACAGTTTGGCAAGACCTTCTTAACCGTACCTGTTATCTGTCTGTCAGGGCAGGCACGTGGGGAGTTACATAGGGATGGTGTCAAGACAAAGGTAATTGCACTTGTGCTTTATGTAACCACAATCCAAAATTAGCCTTAAATCAGAAGGAAACATACATTTCCAGAAAGGTGCAGGGGAGCTTGGCAGTCGTGTCTAATCCTCTACTCTGAAAATGTACTCAAGGATGGAATAGCAAGGGGTGTTAGGATTAACCAGGTGAAGGAACATAAATGTTCCAGTGTCTGCATTGCTTTTTATAGACATTTGGTGAAAAGGGATATATTGATTTGAAAGATAAACACAAACTAATGACTCCGACTGACTTCAGTGGTCATGGAGCAGAGTATAGAAAATTTAAATGCCTGATTTCTTGCCTCAGGACTGGCCTGTAGCTGCTGATTCACTAGGAGGTAAAATGCTCCATAAGGAACCAAGCCAAATTTGATGGATTCATAGCTTCTAAGGTCCAACTCACAAGCCAACTATTTCTCTTTTCCATTATCTTTGTATTAAGTCCAAAATGTTTGACTAAGTAAGGCATATCTGGTAAATCTAAACCTTTCATTAGTAGTTTTTTCATATTGAAAAAATCTGGGCCTTATTTCTAATCTGAATCAGTTTAGTTATAACTTCCAGTTATGGGCTCTTGTCATTTCTTGACTAGAATAATCAGCACTTTTCTGCCTCCAGAGCCTCTCGTCCTCTGTAATCAGTTCCCTTTCCAGCCTTCCTAACACACCATACAGCTCAGAAACCTCTAGTTTTTCACTGTAAAATGCTTTTCCTGGCACAGATATTTTGTGTGGCAATTCTCAGCATCTAATCCAAGTTATTTTTAGCTTTGCAAAATGTGGCCACCAGACCCCTACAAATTTTTTCTAGTACTGGTCTCCTTAATTCTGCATACAAGGGCATCCTGAAATGTGTGCAGAGAAAACATTCTGCAGTTATTAGTCACATAAGTAACCTTCACACATGGAAGTCATCTCACTGAAGCCAGAAGGTTTCATAAATAAATATTACTCCTGTAAGTAAAGGTTATAGGAAGGAGTGCTTTTTAGGAACTCTTCTTAGGACATCTTTCATTCCTAGGAAATGGAATATTGACTTAAAAAAAAAATCTGAAGGTCTTACTTTGGAGGTGCAAGAATCTCTTCCAAGAATTCCTCAATCTTGTTAACATCTGTCTTGACTTCTCCATTGAATGTTAGGAAAGGTGGGTGGGTCCCAGGAGCCAGATTGTGCAGGTCAGCTGGCTTTCTGCAAGCAGGGAAGAAGTCATGAAATCACTAATCTTTATGGTCGGGTAGTTGCATAGATATTTATAGCTCCTACAAAATCAGTCGGTGTTGTTTTTTTTTTTTCTTTCCTGTAATTTGTGGTTGGAAGACTTTGAAACTACCCCAAGCACCCTGTTTAATATAAAAACATTCCACAAGTGAGAAAAAAAAAAGAAAAAAAACAACAACCAAACCTGAATCCCAACTATTTTGTTGTGTACCATTGGGTCTCTAGGCCAGATAAAAACCTGATTTAACTTGGAGGGGTCTTTCTATAGTTCAAACACTGGGTCATAGACCTATTTTCAATTAAACTGAACTTTTTTTACCTTTTCAGATCAACAGTGGTGACATTGAACACAACTCCTTTGAGCCACAGGATCATGAAGAGTCGCTGGGAGAATGGGCAGTTCCCAATGCTTTCTCCATCTATACCAGCCTGGGGGAGAGGAAGAGAGGAAAAATGGATTTCAGACTTGTTACTCATTTACCTCCCTCAAGACGGAAAATTGGATGGTGAAAGAAAAATAAGCGTTTTAAAAATAACCAGCAATGCTTGTTATTTAATATAGTTTCTCATCAACACAAGAATGGAGTTACTGCAGGATTCAGCCTTTTTCAGGAGCTCAAGGATGCAACACGGACCCTCTCCTGAGGATATCTCTAAGGAGATGTGTCCCGTGATGATGGCAAGCAACATCCAGGGTGTTCTTTCAACTGCTCTCATCCCTACAGGACTGTCTGCTTCATGGACAGGGGGGACAAACTCAAGACCTGATTTATGCTTTATTTAAGTCTGTAGACTGAGTTTATATCAACTCAGTATCTGCTTCACTATTTTATTATTTAAAACATGTACTTTAGATGTAAACCTAAAAACTCTGGACATTGACTCTTTCTAGTTCACATCAACAACTGCCTCAGACACAAATTGCCAGGTCCAGACAGAAATCTCTATTTGAATCCTTCCAAGGTTAAAGGCAGGTTTCAGCCACCACATTCAGTCTATTCCTATCTCTAGTATCTAATGAGCTGCCTACAAACCACTGCACAACAATACAAAACTGCTAGTGTTAGCATTGAGGAACAGTCTATTTTTTTCCTCTAAAAATTTATGGTCCTTAGCCATGCAAATTCTAACTTTAAGCCATGGAGGGATACAAATAACATCAGCTGAACTGAGCCAAAGCTGCGGCCAAGGACAACATCCTTTTACAATAATTATGCTTGTGGCCAAAGCTTTCAGGATGATAATTGTTTTGATAGATTTCCATTTTAATTTGTGGTACCATTGTTTTTTAAAGATTCTTATAATCCTGGTGAAGCAACTAACCTTCCTTTGTTGACCCACATGGATTGCATAACTGTATTTTAAGCACAGTGTGTGTCCGAAAACGGCTGATGAAAGAGCTAAGCAAATAAATGCCCTTTTCCTTTGGAGACAATATTGTATTACTCTGTTGGCTCTCATAAATTTTCTCTTATTAATATTCAAGCTGTGAGGTAGCGTTTATCTCTTAAAGAACGAAACTCTTCTAATTACTGCAGCTCTGTGAAACATCCCCAGCATGACTTGAAACTCTTTGAGATATGTCCAGTTGGTACAAATTCAGGCCCTGCCTGTGAAATGTTCAGCCAAAAGATTTTCTGGTGGGCATCAAGAATCTTTCTCATGTCTTGAACGCAACTTTTGATGATTCCGGGTTTAAAAACAAATTCCACATTTCCTGCCACCAAATTATGGGGAGTGTGTGAATTCAAGGCTTGGAGGCAACCTGTTGTAAAGTTCAGAGCTGTGTAAAGAGTTTTGATCTGGGTTCAGATTTGACTTCAAGCACTTAGACTCTAGAGGTACTTGGGTATAGGGGGGAACAGTCTGGCTGCAGTTTTACTTGAAATTATGGATCTGCAATATGTCTGGCACATGGCATATGCAAGGATCAACAAACAATGTGGGTGAAAGAGTGGTAGGTCATGAGGATGAGCAAGAGAGGATGCATTTCCCATCTACCTGAGGTGTGAGTAGCCTGATTTTGCAAAATTTCATGGATTTAATCATTAGCTCTGTTCTGCAAATTTCATGGCAACAGCAACAATGTCACCATGGGAATACCAGGCACCACCATAGTGCATGCCATCATTACTGCAAAGACATATTTTCTGATTTGGATTTAGCTTTTTAAACCATTGCCAAGAGCTTTTGACTTCTTACTCTTCCTGAAAAGAGTCAAAAGCTTTGGGAGGAAACAGTGATATGACACCAAACTTCCCCTTGATTTTTTCACCACCTTAGTCATAAATCATAATTTCATCTTTTTCAGAAAAGATACAAGTCCCCGCTCTCTCCATTTGTTTATTCTCATGCAAAAATTAAGGGTTACCCAGACCTGCATCTTCTTACATGTTCTCTGTCCCTCAAGGGAATGGTGTAAAACCATCTCCAGACCAGAGGACTAAAGGAGGGACAGAGCAGAATGAATCACACAATCATAAAATCAGCTGAATCACGCAATCAGCTGACTCAGAATCACTGAATCAGTGGAATCACTGAATCACAGAATCTGCTGAGTTGGAAAGATCATTGAGTCTAACTCAGCAAAGGACACCCCAAAGAGTTACACCATGTGCCTGGAAGAATGGAAATGACAAGGAAGAAAGAGAAGAGATGGATTGTGTGGGGCTAAGGGATGTAGAAATCATAGGGAAAAGGAAGAAGATGTGAAATCTGGAAGAAATAAGATTGACTTGGTGATCAAAAATAAAATTAATTGTGTAGGCCAAACAAGGCCTCCAACAGTCCCAAATGGTCAAAATTCCTTCTCAACACTTCCAAAGCAATGGGAAAAACTTATTGCTAGAGACACATTGGGAATAGGCAGAGAAAATTCCAAAAACAAAAGATAAACTAAAGAAAAAGTACGGTATGATCTCTGTTCAAAGCTCTGGGATCTGGAAGCCAGGCTCATGATTTGGGTTGAGACCAACTCATGGGTTTTGATCTCATGTGACGGCATAACTAAAAATGCTACCACAAATCACAAGGCAAACTGGTGACAGAGGAGGGAACAAAATCAAAATCTCCCCAGCAACACAATTTATCCATTATATTCAACTCTTTTTCTGTGGAAATTATAGGCAAGGCTCTGTCGGTTTTGTGAATCCTTTCTCATTGCTTCTAACAGCAGTCAGTAATTCAATGTTCAGCACTCAGAAAGAGCAAAACCTTAGTAGGTAACAACTTCAAAGGCTTATCAGAGTGTTCTGAGATCCTTTGTGAAGTCTATTAACTACCAGGAGGAGATGAGAAAGAAGACAAAACTTCCCAAGCTTAGTCACTCTGAGCTTCAAAGTAAAACAGCTTTCTTAAAGCACCCCAGTAGTGCCTAAATACAAACCTGTTATATATCCATCCAAGGGTAAGGGCTCAGAAAGGCAGGAATTAAATAATACCTTCATCAAGATCAAGAATTCAAGCAGTGAATGGTAAGAAAAGAACAAATAATTGACAAAATGGAGAACCACCATTTATTCCTGCTGTTTTTCACAAAAGCTTACTCATGCAGCTTTCCTGAAACACCGTAAAAGTGATGAAGCACTTACAAAACCGAGCAAGTTGGTGACATTTGCACTCTCCCTGCTAGTAATATTGTATATTTCTGATATAATGATTGTAACTAGGGACAGTACTGACAGTTCTGAATAAAAGATTGCAGCTAGGGACAGACTTGAGGCTTTGTGGGCACTAGGATAAAGGAGATAGAGTTGTTTAAGTGCACTCTCAACTGAGAAGAGCCTCACTCAAAAAGGCAAATTCCCATAGTGACTGTGAAAAAGTATAATGGATTTGAGGATTTGCTGGGCAAGACTCTTTGGCGAATCACTCCTCAGCCCACTGAAGTTTAACTCAGGTGCCCAAGGGAAGGTCTCCTGCATGGGCAAGGCCAAGATGCAGATCTGAAAGATGAGTCTGTTCACGTTTCACTTTGACTGAATCCACTGAGTGTCTTTGTTTGAAGTGGGATGAACGTGGACCCCAGCAATAGAAAAGCCTGAAGTTTGTGGAGACAGAATTTCTAGGGACTTAAGTTTCTCTGTCTTGGAAACAGCACTTTCTGCTCCCATTGCTTCCCAGAAACATAATTTTATTAGTTTACCTACTCAAAAAGCATTCTTTTCTCCTTAGTCTCTAGCTGTTTCTGTCCTTCACACCAAGCAATGCAAGGTCCTGCCCTCAAACTCAGCATAATCACATCAGGAAAAGCCTACTGTCAGAGCAGCTGCTTCCCTCTGTCTGAGTAATGGCAAGAATGAACAACATGTTCTCCTTTATTAATTATAAGGTGCTCCTCCTTAAATAGTTCAGCTATTTTTAGTTAATTAATTAAACCATAGCAACATTTGTGTGCATGTGTGGGGGAACATGTGCGAACACATTATCAATTAATAAAATTTAGGTGGTTTTGGAAGGGAGAAGAAACATCTCGGTGATTTTTTGAACTTATGTCAAGGATTTTTGTGAAGTCATGGCAGTATTAAAAGCCTCCAACCACTGCAAAGCACAGCTGAACGATGTGAACAAGGAGCTCTTCCCAAGTTCAAGCTAATACTTTGCTATAAATGAAATAACTGGAATAAATTTCCTCACATATTCCAAAAATATTCCAACTGGTACATGCACAGGGACTGCAATACACACAGACAACTGTATATTATTTTAACTAACCTTAAGGGAGGAAAAAAAGACAAGTTCCAATTTGTCCCAAAATACAGAACTTTAAAGAAATCATTAATAGTGACTAAGCATCTAGCTTTAAAATGGCAGCACTGGAAAGAATTGCATATGGCAAAGCACTGTGGTTTTTCCAGGCAAATAATGTATTTGGGTTTACCTATCCTCCTTCTCACTGCACTGAGGTCACTCTGCACGTGGGCCAGGGGTCTGTTAGACTGTGGGATAAAGCAAGGAGATATTTTTGATGACATTAAAACACATTTCTTTTTCAAAAGGATTTTAATAGATTAGCAAAAACAAGCAGGCTAATTCACCTCAGTGTTTCCCAGTAAGGATTAAGGAAGGATTTTATTTCATCATCCCTACAATCAAACTCAAGGCTCACATTACACATGGTTACACCCTCTCTGTTTTAAAACTGGGAAAGCTCTTGCCTTTTGACACTTACTCTCCTTACACTCAGAACCCAAAGGGGAAGTGAAAATCCTACTGGAAACGCAAAGCAGGCCAGGAAATATCCTATTTATTGTGCTATTAAGAAAAAAAATCTGTCTTAGTAATTATACCACACACACAATAGCACAAATCTCCATTGTAGGGAAAAACCATGGGTTGCAACATGAGATCAGACATGCCAAGGTATTGCTTTAGTAAGGGTTATTTTTTTTTCCATTTTCTTGTGTTCTTTTCTTTCCCAGCTTCTCATC